GAAATCATGCTTCATCTCCTCCACCTCCTCCAATAATTCTCCCTGACCCACGTGTTTGAAGACTTGAAAAAGTTCAAGGTCACTCAAGCCCTATTGGCAATAAGGCACAAAGAAGGAAAGTCTGTGTGTGTACATGTCTTAAAGATGAAGTCACACATGGACAAGTTAAGGATGTTGGGTATCGATGTCTCAAGGAAGTTGGTTGTTGACTTAGTTCTTCAATCACTTCCCGAATCATATGGTAAGTTCGTTAAAGAGTACTATATGATGGACCACGTCATTACGCTTATTGATTTGACTTATTTGCTTATTGCTGCTAAATCAGAAATGATTTGGCGCACTGGTCGAGAAAATTTGTCTGATAAATCAATGTCCCAACCTTCTATGGGCAATGGCAACATTGAAAGTCCAGAAAAGTTTTCTCTACGCAAGAGAAAGGCTGAGTCTGAGATAGTCCCATGTACCATTCCAGAAGAATCCATATGTTTCTACTGCCAAAAGAAGGGGCATTGGTTACGAAGCTTCCCTCACTACCTAAGAGATCTAAGAGATGGGAGAGTCAAGATGTATGACTCTACTTTAGGCAATATCCACTATCTAACTCTATTAAGTTCCTATTTGGAGATTCTTAATACATGATGTGATAAGATTACATTTCGATGTTTTGAAGGATCGAAGAAAGGAAAGGAAGCTTAAAGGAAGGAGCGAGCTGAGTCTGATCGCGAAGAAATGGATTACGATCGCATGGATTCGATGATTGGATTTTGAGCTGCTCCTTAGAGTTATGATAGATTGCTTAGAAATATGAAATAACATAGTTTTCACTTGCTTTGTAAGGATAAATAAAATAAATTTTGATTTTTTCTTATTTATATTTCCATGCAATGGCAATTGTGAAAATTGATGTTTGTGTGTTTCTATTATAAGCAATATTAAATGGATGTGATTCTTAGTTATGTTATTTTTGATAATGTCCTAATTTTGTAAGTAAGGAAAGATTCCCATCGCCCAAGTTTCAATTGGACAGAAACTTGGAATCATATGATTTGAATCATGTGATGTATGGAAATCTTGGTACTTAGAAATTTTAAGGCTAATTTCTTGACAAAGAGTCAAGTAAAGGACTAGGAGATCGAGTTCACAATGTTGTGCACTGGTCAAGTCCACCGTAAATAACAACAAGATTATTCATCATGATATACTAAAAGTCTAGTAAATATGATTATGCTTACAAGATTAAGTATAATTCTGAATCCTTGAAAAGTTTCAATGAATGGAAGAACGAATAAGAAGAATCAATTAGACAAGAAAGATAAAAGTTTCTCCAATCTAAGAAGAAGGGAGAGTACTTTTGTATCATGTTTATGATCGTCTTAAGAACCATATTACAATTCATCCTCTAAGGACACCTTAGTGCACTAGTATGGCTAAGAAGAGGAGTCGAGAATTGTCAAAATGGTTAAGTCAATAAGATGTATCGTACTTCGTTCCAAAATCAAGTCTTAGAGTCATACTCCAAGATTGTGACTTGAGTGACATAATCTTAAGTAGGAATGTTCTTACACTTGCACATTTTGGTAAGTTGTGATGTCTTGAATAAGACATAGACCAACTAGTACCAAATTGCGCGTAGTTTTGATATAGACACACTAACTCTTGGATATTTGTTTTGTCAAGAAATGTTTCTTGATAAAAGAATCTAATATGTCAAGAGGTCAGTGGGAGTCTAAAGATCTTGAAAAGTTTCAAGAACAAATCAAGAAGTAAACCTATTAAACACTAGCACACGACTTGAGGATAGTAACCTATCGTGTTGACAAAATTTTATTTCTGTGCCAATCTAGTTGAGTGATTATGCATATGAGTTTTACGAGTTCTCAATTGAATGCATAAGGGCAAACACCTTGATCAATGAAAGTACATTGACTGGCACAGGTGAGCTGCTAAATAACTTGGAAGCAATGGTGGGACCCTTGATGGCAAGAAATTAAGAATGAACAAGTTCTGTCCATAAGAGTTTGAATTTGTCAAACATTATCTTACGATTATGCTTATGACAAATTTGCATGGATAGGAACACATGCACCATAAAATCTAAGTGTCATAAGGTTTCTCTCCTTCATGAAAATGATTGTGAGGAAACAATTTCACTAAGAGAGATTTTAAGGAGGCAGCGATTATGTAAATTGCATTCTCAAATTCGATTATGATTACGGCATCCCTCTTCATAGTTCGAATTGTGAGATTTGGCAATTAGTCTGAACATTTGGGACTTAGTAATATAAGTTCTGAATTAGTTTAGACATACATATGAGCCATCTAAAGTAATGTGTATGAGTTTGAGAAGCTTAGATAAAGGCTTATCGAAGCATATCGTATTAGAAATATGAACTTTGGAAGTCAATAAGTATTGATTTCTAGAAAGTCCAACTGTTTTCTGAATACGTGTCAAAGCTAGTGGGAGTATAAATGTTATGCTGGAATGGATATAATCATCATGTTAGTGGGAGCATGATTATTATCATTGCAAGTTAGCAATATTAATTATAGAAAACAAAAGTTTTACTTTGCAAAGTTGCATAGGTTGAAAAATTGTTTTGCTATAATGAAGGGAGAGAATATTATACTTCGTTTCAAATTTAAAGGTTTAGATCGAGAAATTTTAATCAAATTTAGTCAAAAAGATATATGAATGTTATGTTGAAAGGATTCAACGTAAGAGAATTCTATATATGGAAATATTTGTTGCGTTCTCACACTCGATTATGATTACGACATCCCTCTTCATAGTTCGAATTGTGAGAACACGGCAAATAGAAATATTATGACAATATTATAGCAAGTAACTGGTAAAGTATCACGTTTTTCATTATGAATCGTATCCCATACACTTCGGGTACAAGATCGATTGCATATGCTGTAATATTCGACCGTTCTAAAATTTTCCAAATTCCTAGGGAATTTAGAGGGAAAAAGGGAATAGAACCGGATTTGACTAAAATATTTAAACAACTGTCAAGGACAATCTAAGGTTCGCCAATGATTGGTCACTTGTGGACAGTTAGAAATATAGTCATGGATGGACCATATTGACATTATTATGAATAGATAAGATTCTATTTAAAATGAGTTGTCATATGACAAATATGTAAATGTTTTCATATTGGGAGTTGGACGTTAAGAATCTCTATGTCTAGATTAGAAAAACTTTTATGCAAGAAGGATGTTCAAAGGAATGTACTTTGAATGTGATACTTCATAAATAGAGCACTTTGTAATTAATATGTTATTCGATTATTGTATGCTAGATCTAGGGTTTATGGCTTTGGATGATTATTGCATGTTCATTAGACAAACTAGATCCAAAGCTTTCTGGTTTGCATGTACACCATAGGAATGATGTAGTGCTCAAAAACCATCATAAAAGTCATTTATTCATGACTTAATCCATTGAGATATAAACTCAATTACATCCCAACCAACTTGGTTTCATAATTGTTGTGAGAAAAGTCATTTGGAATTAAAATGAACAAGTTGTAGTCACTTGAAAATGGTATCTTGCATAAGTGTTGTGAGGAAAGTTTATAAGACCTTACGATTCGTGATCTATACCTTTTTGTAGTAGCTTTCTAAACGAAATTTGTAGTTGACATGACAAATCATTCAACTATGAGTTCTTGTGAAAAAGTTATGAGGTTGTAAAGTTGGTATCAAATATGAGATTTCGTGGTTTATATATATATATATATATATATATATATATATATATATATATATATATATATATATATATATATATATATAGGGCGGGGGGGGGGGGGGGTGTTGCTTTTCACAAATCTCCACCTGCAGAAATCATGGCTAATGTTGTCATTTTGATAAATATTGGTTTCAGAAAACGATTTATAGGATTAGCCTGAATTGGCTTTATCTATTTATGGTATGGGAATGTAGGACAATTGATGCCTAAAGAATATTGAGGAGTCATGTTTCTTTTCTTTACCTCCAACGACTAGATTGAAATGCTAAGGGTGCACGATGTCGTGCCATTTTGGCATGATAATGATGGTGCCGACGGGACCGTCGGGTCCACGGCTCTGAATAGCAATGACTTTGGGATGGTAGGCTTGGGCGCGTTCATAAACATTTCCAACCAACCATACTCTCTCCCACATGCTGATTTTAATCATCGTTTTAGTAAATGTTTTAATATTTTTTAAAACACTAGAGAGGGTTGGGAGGGTTTCGAAAGATAAGTTCGTCACAAATCCATCAAAAATCCGTCAAGTATCAGTTGGAAATCCATCAACAAGTCCTAATAAATGTAATTTAAGTGTAAAATTGTCGGTGAAATTTCGGTAAAAAGTTCTTTTTCTTGTAGTGCAATCGACAATTTTTTTTTACAACCTATGATATATTTTTCCGCGTCCGTCTCAGGTTATCCCTTCACTCTAATGTTGGCAAAACATACGGTCTCTATTTTAGCTATTTATTTTATATCAAATATTTAAAAACTTTGTACAATATTTCATCCTAAATAAAAAGGACTAACTTGGTTGACATATAAACAAAGTCTTCTATTAACTTTTTATTTTTATCTTAAATTTTTTAAAAAATTACACAACATTTTTTGGTTGACATATAAACAAAGTCTTCTATTAACTTTTTATTTTTATCTTAAATTTTTAAAAACTTTACACAATATTTTTCATCCTAGATAACAAGGACTAACTTAGTTGACATAATAACAAAGCCTTCTATTAATATTGTTTTTGTTTCAAATTTTTTTAAACTTTACACAATATTTTCGACCTAAATAACAAGGACTATATTGGTTGATAGTCATGTTACCTTAAATAAAACATCTTTGGAAATTTAAGCCTTTCTTAAATATCTTCACACTTGAGAGACCAAATCAAACATTAAAACATAAAAAGTTAAAAGTAAAAAGTACATTTATAATTTAATTCAAAACTTGTCAAAGTCTGTTAATAAACCAAGCACACCAAATTTATATTCAAAAAAAGTTCAAAAATTCAGTTGATTGTTTCTCTTTTCACACAAACATGCATATTGCTGTAGAGTTCCAGGTAAAATCATAATATACTCTAACGAGGCAACCATTACGAGCTACCATCTACTAGGTAAATTTTATAGATAATACACTTAATAGAGGCTTTTGCATGCGGCAACATCATCAGCTTGTGCTGCCAAAAGGACATTAGCAGAAGAACTTGAACCAACAATCCTCATCACTCCATCAAACACGGCCTGTCGAAAGTAGTGGTCATCTTCAATTTCATCAATAACTTCTCCGACGACCTTAAAATCTATGCAACGAGACAACACCAAATGTCCCATAATCTCCCCAAAGTCGTTAGGTGCTAGTCGTAAATCACTGGCGACATCATCTAATGTTAACATCGATGCATAGCTTCTGCACCCGGTTCTTAAGTCGCTTTTGACCAGAATCTTTTTCAATAACAGGAAGTCCAGGAGTTTAGCGATGGGTTCGACACATGGTGGGCTTCTGTCTAAGAAGAGTAAAATGGCCTCCTTCACAAACTCCGGGTAATCATAGGGGAATTTTAGCTCTTCTACGAATTGTAAAACATCGTCAAGAATAAGAACACTGAAATATTCGTTTAAGAGAGAGATCGTTAATCTCTTGATTTCATCTGCGTTATTCACATTGGAAAGAGTAGCTACTTTGATAGATTTGGATTGACTTCGAATAGACTCCTGATAGTCTACGGGATACCAAAAGTATTCCTCTGAACGAAAAGGAGTGAAAACACCATTAAGTGTATCCACTAGGGCATTATATGTAGCGATAGTGAAACTGGCCACTCTTGGATGCGGAAATCTCTGATTCGCCAATGGTTTCTTTCGTGGTTGAGATCCATAGATGTCCGACGAAGTAAAACCAGGACTATATTGACGGAAGTCCATAAATCTGATGGCCTTCTCCTAAAAACCAGCTTTGATCATCAGATATGACACACCGAAAACAAAGACCAATCGAAAGAAATAGAAGAAAAATTAACATGGGGCTACCTCTTCCGGGATGGGAACCCATTTATTCAAGCGAAGATCAAGAATATCACGAACAATAAATCTTATCCGTTGGGCGAGTTGTAGTTTCGTTAATATCTCTGTCAGTCGGTAGAAGTAAATATCGTTAATACTCTTCGATGTTGGGCACTCATCAAGTTGCTTGCCTATGGTTTGCAAAAACTGGCATATGGCCTCCACATTTTCTTCCTCCGGACTAGCGGGTGCTAAAAGCTCCTGTTTACATCATTACATGAACACTTATGATAATCATGTTATATCCTTAACTCCAATCTGTGAACTGCAAATTCTACAAAAGAATAAGATCAAAGTGTTTGAAACAAAACCAGGACAATGTGGCGAACAATCGATGCAGCCACCATCTTCTGTTTGAAAAGCTCTCCAATCAAACGGATGCTTCCGAAACCACGTTGCTTAACTATTCTTTCTTTATCTCTATAACTACGTTCGGACTCTTGGTGATCAGGAGCGGTGATAGTCGGCCTTGTTTTTTTCCTCAGTCTGACTAAACTTTCGAAAGCCTCCTGGCAAGTATTCAACATCACTCGCCCGAATGTGATCTCTTTTCCACCAGGCTCATCAGATGGAAATGGGGGGAGTTTCCTTTTGAGATCCGAACACAACTGAGCAAACATGGGGCAAAACGTAGGTTCGAGAACAGCATAGTCAAATATGAAGGATACGACGCCCTTTAGAATATCAGATGTTGTGATCCACGACTCGATAGGTTGGCCTATGAGAAGATCAACCTTCTCGTGTATAGGCTTGTTCAAGATACTGAGAAGGCAAGTAGAGTCATCCATGGATCTCTGCAAATGGATAACTCAAACTCACAAAGGTGGACAAAAAGACAAAAAAATATTACTACCTAGCTAATTCCACATTTCTGGTTGTGGTCTCGAACATCGATGGGAGTACGATGAAGAACTATGTCAGTAGTGATAGTATATGTCGAAGGAACGAAGAAGATTTGTCTCTGAAAAAGATCAATTTGATGAAGCGGAGAACACGATGAATGTCAGGGACAAAAGTCAAGCACTTTCACGAGTGCGATCCGTCTATTGTCATTTTATCAAATTAGCGGGCCGATACATCCTCCCTTAAATCCAATATGCACAATAACGAGGTGCCTACTGAGCCCAATATAAAGGAGCCTAGTTTAAAAAGAATTGAATGGACCCACGCCAAGCCATCGAAGAGAAACAAAATGTTAAGTAGGAGATCCCAGATCGAAAAAATTAAAATTAACTTTTTTTTTTATTATTAAAAATTAAAAGGACCACCATAACTCTTTTAAACTCTCATTGTAGTCTTGAATGATTATTGAACTATACCATCTATATCATCATTTCTCTCCTATATTGTATTCTTCATGTCATGGTCATTCTCATATTTCATTCTTAATGAACCCTTATTAAACCTCTATTGTGATGTTCTAGATGACTATCTTCTTCATCATAGTTAATAGGGATATTGACGATGATTGTACTATTTTTAAGACAATTATGACAATGATGAAGAACAATTTCAAAAATAAACTTTCAAATTAATGGAAAGACAAAGAAGATCAACAAAGAAAGCAAAATTCTCTCAAGATGAAAAAAAAGCATGCCTACACAGTCCTTGTGAGTACCACATGAAGATAAAATATGGTAGAAATGCAATCATGAGATTTATCAAGAGATGGATTTGGAAAAGCGGACACTAACTCTAATATTTATCATTTTAATTAGAGGAATTTTAATCTTCCTGCTAGGAGTGGCTCCCTAAATTGGTGACAAGTGACTCATTATATACATCTTTAGAGGTCTAAAAATGCTTCATATCGTTGAAGAAATTAGATTCAAGTTCGAAATGGAAATATATACCTTATAAAGAACTCAGTCAACGAGAACAATGGATATCTTGACAAATATCAAAGCCCCTTTCAATCAATAGTAACATGGAAAGGAGTGATGTCAAAAGAGAGTAGGTTAAGGAAATGGTGAAAAAAAATTCATTGAATTTCTTATGTGATTAAGAGACGAGAATAGAATCAAGATTAGCAGCAATACTCAAACCTAGTACTGAATTGTAAGTGTGTTTGGTCCACGTCATCAGATTGCATAATTGGGAAACTTTAAATCTTGTACTCTTGGTTCGTTCATGTCACTCATAATTCCATGCACCACGTGTTGTTCTTACTTAGCCTCCAGATTGTTGTGAGCTCCTGTAACATCACATCATCACACTTCTATATCCTTCTTACCATCGAACCCTTAAAAGAAATATGATCATTTCTTTTAAGGTGCAAGTCATCATGTGGTTCTTACACTATAGTGGTTCGTCTCTGTGATTCGTCCATGGAAATTTCATAAATTTACTTTATTCATTTTTAACAAACTTCAAGAATTTATTCCTATCTATACCTTGTTAGAACTATAAGATCTTTGATGTTACTTTTTCATTCTTCAATATTCAATCATGTGAAATAGCCTTCATCCTTAATCGATCATAGGACATCTCCTAGATATTGCTCCCCTATTATCGAGATATCAAATCTTGAAGTCTTATCCCTCTTCACCCCCTCTTCATGTTCTCCGTGTAATTTTAACTCTTCACCATAAATCACAGAACTTGTAAGTAGGGCTTACAAAGTTCCTCTCGTTAAACTGTTCATCACGGTAGTAGAGTACCCTAGAGTAAGGTACTCTCATGAAATTATCATAGTCACTTCTTAGTTTCATTATTTTCATGTACCCTAGAGTAAGGTACTCTCATGAAATTATCATAGTCACTTCTTAGTTTCATTATTTTCATGCTTCGAAATGGTGTTCATACAGGTTGTCTTCCTTTCAGGCTTGAGAAATACCTTCAGGTATTTTTCCCTTCTTTTCTTTCCTTGTGATGACTTCACTTTCCAGTTTATTGTATTAAGTTAATGCACCATTTCTCATCTCTTACTAGTGTCTTGGTGTCATAAGGACACCCTACTTCCACAACTACCATCACACTTGACACTTGATAATGTTGTCATCTGTTTGCCAACTCCTTAGGGTTCCCAAAAAGATCTCATTGAGTCAACATTATCATGTTTCTTCCCAAGTTGTCTCGTTCGCACTTTCTTGTACCTTCTCACTTTCATCATCATATCACCATTTCGCCGATTAGGTTATTGGCTCACCTTCCTGTGTCGTCAATCACATCAAAGCATTATCTTTCACATAGGGATGGAATTCATGACTCCATGCCATTCTTTTCTCAATCAACTTGTTGTAACTTGAAGTTATCACTCCTATGTAGTAACATAAGCTCGTACCAAATTACCAACTTAAACTAGTTTTCTTAATCATAAATTTAGAGTTACAATGCTTTTCCCATTTTAGACTTTTACCAAAAGTTAACTATGTTCCTTTATTAGCTAATTGACTGTTAATAAATTTAATAACTCAATTTGCTTCATTCTTTTGGTGTTTCTTACTCACTCCCAATAGTACTTAATGGAAACAAACTCAATTCCAAAACATATATATCAAATGTACACTAAGTAATTTTCATTTTCATACTAGCCGTTTGACTTTGACAGAAAAGTCAAAGTTGTCAAAACTTTTCATTATCTATTAGCATGCGTTAAACTCCTTCATGACTCTTATTTGATACTAGATATGCGTTCAGTAAGTCCCTAACTCACCCAAATCCTTACCACATTTCACAAAACCCCTTTGTGGTTTCACCGAGTTCATGCATGTATCATGTGTTTATAATAGTATGGGACCTATACTATTATACCCACATCATACATATCCCAACCTTGACTTCACCGCTTAGGAGATTTTGATCCATTGGTTTAGACTTTCAATTATTCACTCTAGAAGCACACAATGTAGAAATCTACAAATCCATCTAACTTTATCTAAAGCTTCATAAACATCTAGCATGGCATATCCTTACTATCACTTATTGCATAAAGTCCTATCTAACTTAAGGCATAGCAATCTTATGACTAATTCACACTTTCCATAACCAAATTCTAAGCCTAGGAGTGGAATGATCCAATCCTAATTCGCTAAAACTATGGCTCTGATACCAAACTGTAACACCCCGATATTTTTCAAACTTTAAAATGATATGGTTTTAAAAACATTCGGGTATTATGTAACGCCCGTGTTTCTAGGCTAGGCAATAATGATGATGTAATAGTCTAAGCCAACCTTTGTAATTTGTTTTGAAATAATAAAGATGTGTTATTTGATTATTATGTGTTTTATGCTTAATTATCATAATTTAATGAATTAAGAATAAAAATAAGCGTCAAAAATAAATTTTAGATAAACCTGATATCTATCAAGAAAGTGGTAGTAGTTGAAATAAGGATTCTGGAATATAAAGAATACCGAAATCCGAGTTATAACGAAGAAGTTATGACATATCGAAGTTTCGCGACAGAACCGACACGACGCTGTATGATGTAAAAAAGTAAATTTACGATAAAGTGCTTTATAGCCTTAGTGATCTAAACGAAAGTCGCAGTGTTCGTTAAACCGAGAGTGTGCATAAAAAGAATGTCCAAATCTGACTTCGTATGAGGAAGTTATGATTTTTCTAAGTTTCGACTTAGCAGTATGCAGCCCGAAACTCGAATTTTAGATCGAGTGATTTTTAGCCGAAACAACCTAATCGAGAATCGGAGATCTCATTGATAGTAGTTCAAAGGTAAAAAGGCAGACGAAAACGGACGTCGGATGAAGAAGTTATGAATTTTTAACAGACATTTCTTGTCCCGGCCTGTTAAAAATATAACATTAAAAATAAATTCAAAATTAACCGACGGAATCTAAACGAAAGTTGTAGAGTATAATCTCACCTATGCGTGGATATAAACAACGTCAAAAACGGAGTTCGTATGCGAAAGTTATGAATTTTTGAAGTTTGGAAATTCGGAGTACGCCTAGCGTACTCGTGTTCACGGTCCGAGATTGGCCACGTCGCCTATTCCTCGCAATCGACACGTATCACGTAGGTTCGACACGTCTGATGCCACGCATCAGGGTACGCCCAGCGTACTAAGCTGTACGCCCAGCTTAATGGCTAATAGAGCAGTACACCCAACGTACTTGAAGATTACGCCCAACGTAATTCGGGTTTCAGCCACTACAAATAGAAACCGAGGGCTTACGGATTTTGTTTAGAAAATCTACTCTTTTTCACCCCTACTCTCTCTAAAATTTCCCTAACATCCCTCGAAGTCCCGATAACATCCCTAGCACCCGAAGCAATCTCGGAGCCCCGAAGTCTCCAAGAAAAAGAGTTTGTCGGGTCGAAACTCTGCCCGCGTGAAGCTCGGTTTTTGAGAAAATATCCCGGTTTCATCGAAGAATATTGTTTTAATAGACGAAGTGCTGTCAAATCGTCGTCTTATCAGGTGAGTGTGTAGTCACTTTCATCTTACACATAGATGTGAAGTATTTTCTATAAAATACGTGCTATGTGTAATTAAATTGTTTGTTTATTTGAGATGGGTGTTGAATAGATGTTTTATGCAAGTTTTAAATTGTATATGTATTTTTATCTACAAATATGTTGGGTAAAACGTGGGTAGATGAAATGTTTGATGTGTGTTAAATTGATGAGAGGCCTTGATGTTGTTGTTGTTGTTGTTGTTGTCATCTAGCGGAGTATAGATGACGACCACGGACCTTTCTAGACAGTCCAATGGAACGCTAGCAGGTTCGCAACCTGTAGGTGTTGGTGAACTATATGTTCGCTGGTGTACTCCATCCCCCTCGTGGTTGCCTTATTTGACATAAATTGCTGAGGAATACCTAAAGCAGTGTTGTCACCCCGATGAAAATCCTTAGACTAGGTCCCTTATGATAGGTGTTTAGGGACGTAAAGTGAGGATAACGGGAATGGGTAATCAGGGTTAT